TTTCTTGGGAAAGAATACGTGTTACTCCCTATGCATTGACTGGCCGTTTACTAGAATTTGTTTTATGATGATAGGATCATGGAATTAAAAACAGGAAAAGATTCACAGAATTATAAATGCAGAGATTATCTGGTGCCAAAGATGGCAGAGGGGCCTAAGCCCGGGGGGCTTAGTGTCCCCAATGTTGGTGAAAGCCTGAACAGAGAGCAGCCTTGTGAAGGCGTGGTTTCCTCCACGCTGGGATTCCTTGAGTCATTACGGCTTTAATCACATAGCCCTTTCAACTGTGTGCAGGCCCCACTCCTCACGGAGATTTCCCCTGTTCTTAGGCCTGTCTTCCACCAGGGAGGTGATAGAGCTCTTTCAGAATTGGTTTTGATTAACAGCATCCTCGTGGCTTTCCTGCACTAAGAGAATGGTGATGGATTCCTCCTGATTTCTCAGCAACTGTTTTCTCTGCCCCCAAACCGTATTTCATGATGTAGATAGCTGAATAAGAGTGCATACTGAGCTAGTGAATAATTCATGCCAAACACCGTAAACTACTGACAGCAGGGGCAAAATGTAAAAATATATTGTTGGGCTTTTCCCTAGCTGTAAAGTTCTGCCTGCGACCCACAGGGTTCCTGTGCTCAGCTTCCGCACCACCCTTAAGAGATTCATTCAGAGACGTAAAAACGTTAGCACTGGGATGCAGTGTGACAGTTTCCAGCTCTTTGAGTTTCTCCTAGTCATGATCGTCTAAAATTAAAATACACCTAAGAGGATGAACCCCGAAGGCTAATTCATTGGAATAGTTTAGTGATTTATTAGACTATTTCTTCTTATGGAAAAGTCCCAAGACCAGGGAAGAACCTGAGAGAACAGTGTGAAGAGGTAGAGCCACAAACTGGGAGGGGTCTTAAAATAAGACAATTGGAGATGCGGGTGGAAGGGTATTTCTGAAAGCAAACATGAACTCACACTCCTCTCTGGCCCAGTAGTCCCCCTTATTGACTTCTGTCATTGCTGGTGGGTATGCATGCATCAGCTGTAGGAGTAAGAGGAAAAAACAGGAGTAAGAGGAAAAAGCAGGGTGCCACTGTTGAAACTATTCTCTAACCATATTTGGTTAAGAAGCTCTGGTGGTATAGTGCCTAAGGTATTTGACTGCCAGCAAGAAGGTTGGTGGTTCACACCCACCAGCTGCTCCACAGAAGGAAGATGGGGCAATCTACTTTGGTAAAGATTTACCCCCTCAGAAACCCGGTGGGGGGGGGGGTCGCTGTAAGTCGGAATCGACTAGATGGCAGTGAGTTTGGTATTTTGATTTTAACCACCTTTGGTAGGGGGAATGGTAATGGTGGTTCCGGGGTAGAATTCTTGCCCTCTGTGCAGGAGACCTGAGTTCCATTCCCGGCCAGGGTACCATAGCCTGTCTGTTAGTGAAGATCTGCCTGTTGCTATGGTGCAGAGCAGATTTCAGCTGAGCTTCCAGACTGAGACGGAGTAGGAAGAAAGCCCTAGTGATCTTTGAAAACTCAGCCACTCAGTGGATACCACGAAATGGTATTGCTGGGCCATAGTTACAGTTATAATTGATCTTGCCACAGTGCCTCCAAATTATAATAATCTATATTATATAATACTTGCATATAATAATGAACACTCTCAACAAGTAGGATGACAGTGTCTATTCTTCAGACCTTGAACTTTTAAAATGTTTGCCAAGCTGGTGGGTGAAGCGTGGCCTCTCTTCTTACTTTGCAATCCTCTGACCTGTGAAGCTGAGTGTATTTTCATATGTTTATTAGCCACTTAGATTTGCTCCTCTGGGAATTGCCTGGGCTTACTCTTTGTCCGGGAGCTCTGGTAGCATAGTGCCTAAGGCACTTGACTGCTAACCAGAAGGCTGGTGGTTCAA